GTACCATCGCATATAATTCGTGACCAATGTTAACGTTTTCGCAGCGCACCTTCTGATTCTTCTAGAGACTTCGACTTTTCGGTTCTAATTTAAGCATTTTTGAAAATCAAACAGTGTTATTTATCAATTGATTATGAAGTTTTCACTGTTAGGGGGGACTACCGAGTCGTAATAAACCAGTAACAAGTATAACAGTGTGCTGCTATTTCGAAATCATTAAAATTGTGACTGAATAGTATGGTGATTTTCGAAACTTTTTGACTGACTTGATGTTTATAACATCAAGTCAGTCAAAAACATCATGGTCTAGCTTGAATGATCAATTTTTTGGCAGAGGAACCATCAAAAAAGTGATGACTGAATATAGATTCTAATATATGCGCCTATGTTGTAATGGAATCATCCCAGGACACCAAAGACACCCAGGACACCTAAGAAGGATATGGAGGTAGTACTGCCTGAGGCTGTACCGGAGGTGGAACCTGCTCAAGAGGATGCATCACAAATTTTGGAAGAAACTGAGACAGCGCAGGCAGTCGCCGACCGAGAACCTACATCCGATGTTCCTGAAGCGGTGGAAGTGGAAATAGAAAAGGAACAAGAAGATATCAGTAGCAAAGAAGAACACAAAGAGGTTGAGGAACACTTCACTGAACAAGCCGAAGAAGTAGTTCTTACAATTTTTGTTGAGTACAGTTTTAACACTCAAATGTTTTTTTCGACAGTTATGCATAGGGTTAGAGGGAAGTGATCACTTAAACTCACAATGAGGGTGTACGTATGCAATAGAACCAACGTGATTCATCTTTGCAAAGAATATAAGCTTTTTTGCACTGCTGATCATTTATTCTGGCTACTACTTCAATAAGTTGAACTATGGTTTACGTAATGCTAACACTCTGTGTTTGCTTGCTGATTTGTTCGTTTTGGCTTCGTCCCGTCCCACTGAAGGGACAAGACAGAGTGTTGAAGTTCCTTGAAAAATGGACCACGATTCGAAATGAAAACTGACACAGCCGTATAGGATGGTCAGAGTGACAAGAATGAATGAGCAATAGATGGTGATTTTGACTGAACACTTTAATTAATATATGATAATTTATGCTAATGTAAATGAGAATGTAACAGTGATAAGGATGGCATGATTAAGCAATGGATTAGTAGTTCAGTGACAATGCGATCTTCGAGGAAGTGAGCCAACGGGTAAAGCGCTCGTAGTACCTTTCTTTTGTGGATCAAAAATAGAATTAGGAACAAAAAGCATTATTCACGTATAGTTTAACGGGATGTCAAAGTGCGAACTGATGCGTCAACAACGAAAAGTAACACCACTTAAAGGTGCAAGCAATTAATCAGGAACAGAACAGATGACTATCAAAATAAGCGTTTGCGTTTGCTTTATTGAGCGTCCAGCCACAATACTTGCAGCCCTCACCTCCGATAGCTCAAGAAGTGACAACAGACGAAACTGCTCCAATGGATTCAACGACGGTGGAGAGTGGAGTCGACACTAAAAGCGATGAGAAGGTATCGCTTGATCGCTGATTTAGAATCAAAACGAATTTGCAAATGAATAAGAAAAATGCAAGCTGAAGAGATTTTTGCTGCTCATTCTGATGGGTGATTTCGATTAGAGGAAGCCTTGTGTAATGATAATTTCCATATTCTGCTGTTTTGAGAGCCTCAGCAATAAGCGATTAGCTGGAATAAATTAACTTTACAGCCATTAAACACCGAAATTTATCATCGTGTAAGAATCAGAATTGCAAGGTGTGTTCTCATATGCCCACGTGAATCGAATAATCCTATTTGATGCGATATTTTGATGTACTTTCATCTCGGTTATTATTTTCCATAGATTGAAACGTATGAACCCTTGCGCGAAGCATTCACGCCTGTCAAAAAGGAGAGTCGGCAGGAGACCAGCGAACCCGTCAACTTAATACCAGATAGATTGCCGTCACCAACACGTCAGAGCACAGCGGTAACACACGAAAAAAGTTTCACCCACTTCGACCAGGTGACACTTATTACTGTATTTCGTTGTTAATTGCGATTCTTAGCAACGAAAGAGATGTTACTGAATTTCTTTCTATGAGGCAAATTCTTGAAGCAACGATGATTCTTATCACGGATGATTTCATTCATTGTCGTGACGATTTCATGCTGTAAGATCCAAATTAGTTGAAGTTTTCCTACAGAGTGCTCATCACTGCCAAAAAATACAATATGATTGAGTGAAGAGAAGGGAAAAACAAGTGAATACTTGTGATATACCTAAAACAAACCCAAGAAAGTTGCACTCGCAGTGAACGTCTGAAAGCAATGGTTCAGGATTCATTTCGTTTAAAAGGAGCACCACCAAGACTTCCTACGAATGCATCTTTCTCGTCCTATACGCCAGTTGCGAGGTCAACATATTCTTCGCTTAGTCCATGGGTGCAAAGCGCTGCGAATAAGTACCGTACCGATTATTCAACCAAACCTACCTACACACCAACGTCTCCATATTTGTCACAGTTTGATGATATGGTTAAAACAGGTGAGAAAAAACTGCCTATCTATGGCTCATTTGTCATTTATTTCTTTCTAATCAAAGTTTCGAGTTTATAACCGCTTCTTGCCATAATCGATTGAAGCTGTCTTCATTCATTTTCCTTACAAGTGGCAGGTTGACTATGATGTGATTAATATAACATTGAATCGTATAATGAGCCGTTCATTTGAAATGTTGTGACCTTATATGAAACCCATTATTTAGTCTTTCATAATGAATCTATTGTCAGATAACTTATTCTCATTATTGACCCATCGTCAGAAAAACGATGAAACTTTGGAGTAATTACTTTCAGGAGCGTTCTCGAACAACCTTTATTCAGTAAACAGGTTGCTAGAGAGATCACGTAGCCGAACTAGAGAGCGTAAGAATGCATCGCGCTCAGCTCGATCTGCAAGCAACTATAATCGGTGAATAGTAAATTCAGATTTTCTTTTTTTCTTTTTTTTTGTAGACTCACAGATAGAAAAATACTAAATAATACAGCCTGGAATAAATAGTTGCCGTTAACTATCTCGTGATATAAACTGCAAATTTTTTGATGTTTTGCAAGTGGTTTGAATGATTGGTATCGGACAAGAAAAATGCTTGGTTTATATCGAGATAATACTGCAAAGCGATTAAAATTGACAGTATAAACTGGGTTTATTTCTGACCCTTCTGTCGATGGTACTTTTGCAAAATGCGCTGCAGTTATACTGCATCTCACATGGATGTGTTACGTGGTGGCAACAGACATTCTGTATGAAAAATACTATTTTGATGTATGCTTGCCATTCACAGAAACCCTGCGAAGAAACTTTCATTCAAATGATGCAAACAATAACTGAAAATATTTACTGAAAATGCTTGTAGACGAACAGTGCTGACATTTCATGTTATTATTGTTAATATTTATGTGTTTCACAAATGCAATGTGTAAAATGAGCGTCTAAAAGAATGTCAACAAATTGTCTCTGTTGCAGCTACACATCGACATATGGGGCAGCTCCAATTAGGACAAGAGAGTACTCCACTCCACCAACATCTGCAATACGCAGAGTACCATCGAGATCCAGTTCATTCATTTCATTCATGCAATATAGCGATGCGAAGAATTATGAAATGGCCAGGAGTCGCAGCCGCTCTTACGGTTTCGACTTTCCTTTAAGCCGCTCAACGTAAGTTCATCCTGATACTTCAAGATAAAGAATGGTAAAACAATTACGCAGATGAGATGAGAGAACACTTCCTTTTCGCTGTTGGTGGAACCGTGGAACGAAAAAATTGCGAAAATGAAAAAGTTATAGCAATGTTGAGTATAAAAGCAAGACTCGTATGCGTGGAATAAATTGCTTATTTGTGAAGGATGTTTATTTTTGCAGTTCTCGGGCAAATATTGAACCGTACTACGAAACAGGACGTCTTTCAAGAGTGGACAGCTATGTACAAAATATGAACTCTCAATATGAATGGACTGTCCCAAGTACTTATGCCACATACCGATCATCATCCAGATCGAACTTGTTCCAACGCAACACTCCTCTAGATGGATATCCGGTTCATTCATTTTTGTCAATGAGATTCATTAAAATTCCATGAAAGAATGCTACACTGCCATACCAAACTGAAATAGTATCGACTTTTTGAATGAATTTTTCGAGAGCTCTCTTCCATGCAACCAACTTGACCAAGTTCAAAATGAATTCAACAAGTATGCACAATTTCAAAATCAGTTTTGTTTAATCGAAAGAACGTCTACTAGTGGAATTGCCGAGTATTTCAAACTCGAAGTAGATTCAAATACTCTCAAAAGAACAAAACCAGGGTAGTTGAAAAGCCTCGATAAACTTGTGGATAAAAAGAATTACGGAATTGAAACGAACTGTAAAAATTTTTAGGCTTACAAAGATCCTTCATCTCTTGGTCAAGCGAGTCGATGGTATGACAGACATTCGTTTTATGATAGCGTGCCGGGAATGTATGAGGTAAACTCTCATTAGAAAAGTTCCGTTTTTGTACGTTTTTGAAGAAGATGAATTGTTTTGCGGTTGTGCAATTATTCATTTTGATGCTCTCATTGACACAGTAACGTTGTGAAGCGATAACATTGCGTAATTCCCATGTCATGTTCGAGAGGGATAGAAGAACGGAAATAAATGTGCCGAAATGATATCTGAAACTTTTGTTTGCATGCATAAGAAAGGCTCTGAATCAAACATTGCTTTTCGTGTGTTCCAATTTAAATATATTTNTTATATCATTTCACTTTTTCTCAAGTCTTCAGTATTTTCATCCACTTTGCATTTCATGAAGATTTATGAGGAAAATGTGAATTTACAGAGTAGGATTGGAAACTACGGCCGAAGTTTATCGCGCGAACGGTTAGGAGGACTGGACAGGGTCGGTTTAATAATTGAACTGCTGGTTTTATTACGTGAATTATTTTACCAGTCCTCTTCCGAAAACTCAGGCGAATGATTGACCGCAGACTCAGAGATTCGATGAGGGGAAATTATACAACGGTTCTCGAAAGGACCAATGAAAGCGTAGCACCGTAACGAACGAATGCTGCAGATTTTTCAATTTTCAGCGCGTGGCCACCAATTAAGATATTCAAATAAAATTTCAGATGACCCAACCGTACAGTTTGAATCGTTCACCAACATCAAACACACTCAGTCGTCTTTACTCAGGTTTTACTCGCGACTGGATTGGTATCTGAGAGAGAGAGTTGAAGTGCCTTCCGAATTTACACAAAAACGCATATGATGAACAGTCGGCGAACCGTTTGATTGTGCTATACGTGATGTGTTATATATCATGTGTTATTTTAATAGCATGCTCTTATGCAATAGATGTTTTTTTAATGATTCTTTCACGCGGCATACGTAATGATTTACATGTATTCGTGTTAATTTCTTTCACAAGAGCCACTCTTTCAATTTTCATATTCTATTTCTTGAATCCGTCATTTGCCAATTAATTGTATTTTAAATTAATTCTGGAGCCTCAAATATAATATCGCCTACATTCATTTTTTTTCATGTTCAGCTGCTTTTGAACGCTGTTACTTAATCCATATATATTCATTATCTGAGAGGGAAATTAATTGGAGAATTCAAGTTGAACACCTTACATTCATACTTGCAACAACCTGATCATCTCTAAAATCGTTGTATAAAATTTTGGGAACGATTCGAGGAAATCATCAGAGCAGTTTTTAAGCCCTTATGAACCCTTTTGTAAAATCTTTTTAGGATTTCGAGCGACCACATCAACGTGATCGAGTGTTCATTGGTGTGCAATTCTTTTTGTCAGTGTTCTTGTGTAAATTTTCCCTCTGCATTATCCATATATACATATATATATAAATATTTTGAATAGATGCATAAAACAAAATCGTCTCGTTACACAATTCGTGCGACAAAAATCTACATTCGATTTAATGTGGTGTGTGAATAATGGTTCTTCATCTGTAGGTTCGCAGCTATTTTTGTTTGCTTAAACGTGTGTTTGGTGCAAGAGGAGCAATTAATTTATGCTTAAGGATAAAGTGTTCTTTATACCCCGTTAATACATTACTCTAACTCAAGTTTCCAACTAGACTTTACTCGTTCAAAATGTCACTTTTTTGCTTGTGTAATCATCTTGAAATGTTCTGGTCTCTTCTGAATCTGTTTATGATTAGTTGAAGTATGATCGCGCAGACTGCGTATATAATAAAATTGATGATAAGTATAAGTTCGAAAAAAAAAGAAATATTACTTGGAAATTAGCCTCGCAAATTGCTCTTCTCCCCAATTAGCCAATGCCTATTTGCTTTGTTAGTGTTTGAATGATGAAAGCTTTAAAATGTGCTAACTTACAATTTCGACGATTCATTACATCGTTTGATGTTTTTCGTTTGAATGTCATTCGATTGCTTAGTATTCATTTCTTTGAAAGTGATTATGTATTGTTCAGAGTCATGAAAAATAGCTTTCAAAGAATGATTTCGAATTAGGAATGAAGATAAATATTTTTATATGTTTCCATCAACTATTAGCAATATTATTCGCAAGAATCAGAATCTGAGAACATCATCGATTATATCGTCTTTCGTTGTAGATTCCAATATAATTGATTGAGGATATAAATGGTATTATAAGAACGAAGCAACATTATCATTCACGATTAGCAACAAGAAGAGCTTGACTTTTTCTGTGTTAAAATCACACCCGCACTCTGAACTTCCACATCTTCGGTTGCCATCAACTCCCTACAAGGTTTTCTTTATTGGAGTATATGATTCGCACAGAGATTCATACGATTTCCTAGGATTAATACGTTATTTTTTCTAATACAACGAAAAGCTCCGCTAAGACAAAGAATTCTAAAATATGAGGGATGGGCAGGCCGAATGAAATAGGCCTTGAAATTTTTTGTAATATTTGACCTGCAGGTGATGAAGAACATGTCAATAACGACGCTACAGTTTCATTGTTTCGCTGATGATTGTGCCGCTTCATTTAGTCATATGATGATTCGTTATAAGTTACAAGCACTTATTACCGATTCACAGAGCAAAATCAATTAGTTATATCCTGATTGGTCAGATAGCAGAAACACAAATGAATATTTCTCGAGAAAGAAGTCAAAGTAACGATTACCTTGACAAGGAAAGTAACGCTTCGTCAACGTTCCATCCATCTAACGCACTACATTCAGCAAAGAGAACTCCCACAGTCTGTAAAGATTCATCAAAGTGACATCAACTCAGCACTCACATAATATTTCAAGTGAGGCCTAAGCATGCATAAATTATCATTGTTTTTTTTTTCAGCTCATTGCTTGCTTCATGCAACGAAAATCATAGCGATGAAAGAAGATAACAAATTGATCGATTTCTGATTGATTGATTGATTGATTGAGTATATAAGTGAAATTGTTTTGATATGAAGACAATGAATTTCTTTTTCTAACTGATGCTAAGGAACGTCCATCTTCCGTGCTCACGTATCCCTTACGACTCATATCATCCGAATCACGTCGAAGATCAACTTTGTTAGCACAAAGTAGTATCGGTATTGGCTTTAAAGTAGACTCCTAAAAGATGTTTAATAGACAACGACACTTTGGCAAGGCCATGAAACAGTTGGAAATCACCGTTTATTACAGTAAACTACTCGATCTGTTAGAAATAAATACTCAAAAGTGTGAACATTCATATAACATGATGAAAGAAAAATGTGCATTTAGGGCTTCTGACTTTAATCGTATCTATCCAGCCACGAACACGAAGGAACGTTTGCTCAACTGTACAATCATATACCAGGATGGCCCCATCTGCCCTTCGAAAATAACTTT